AGAAAGAAAAGTATTAAACTTTCCCTAGCGCCACAGAAATAACTGCAAAGACCATTGGTACAACCTGGAACTGAGAGAAAATAGAATCCACAGTGATTTTTTAAGTATTTTTAAAAGTGCTAAACTAGAAAACTATCACATACCTAACATCATTTTCTCATATTGGGAGCTCCACTGAGAGAGGTAACAGACAGCTGGCTATTTGAACCCAGCATGTATGTGTAACTTCTTGTTCTAGTCCTGCTGTATTCTGGGAAAAGTACTTCAGGAGCTAGGGGAAAGGGCAGGCAATTGCAGGAAGGTTGGCGAGCACCTGGTCAGACTGCAGGATGTGGGTTTAAGAATATGCTTTGCACTTATATTAGAGTGCTGAGGTAAATGATCACTTGTTAGAGATGCTCACAGAATGTTTTTATTTTCTAAAAAGTACTGGTGAAATAGAATGACATTTTCTTTCACATCAGCAGATTCAGATAGAGAGAAACTTGGAGATTACCTCAGCTTATGAACTAACCTTAACATTATTACTGTCTTGTCATCACTGAAATTTTGCCCCACATTAGTTACGGCCTCTAGTGAGTAAGAGGGAAAAAAACCCTTCTCCCTGAGGTCGGGCAAACTAGCTACTGAAAGGTAACTGTTGAGACTTAATGCTCTTCATGCTCCAAATAAGTACTGTAGCCCTGAGGCTGGTCTAGGGCGAGGTTTTTCCCCTCCTGCTACTTATGCCACATTTCAGAAACCTCTCACATATTCCCCTTTTCTATGGTAAGGTGACTTTCACAATAAGAGAAACAGCATATTATCTTCAAAAAAAAACCAAAAAACCTCACTCAGGGAGTGCAAGGACTCCCCTTATAAACTGGTGAAACTTTTACTCTGCAAGAATACACTGTTACAAACTTTCTCCACAAACCTACATTCTCTATAAATACGACAGCTGAACAATGTAGAGTAATAAAGGTAGCTTTTATTTTCCAGAACTGCAGTTGCGGAGCTGTCCATTAAGAAAGGTGAAAAGGAAAGTTTCATTAAAATAAACTGACTTTGAAGGAAATCTGTTTTGTCATGTGTCATTCAATTTTCCAATGCTTTGTTTTTGTTTTTTTTTATTGGAACTTATGTTTTAAATTAGTTGGTCAAAAACAGTGCAATGGCAAAAATCTGATTTATTAATAGAGCCTAAGTAAGTCTGAAATTTTTCCAGCTGCAGTTATCATGCTGCTCTGTGGCCTGTTGATTTGCCTATTTCCATTCTCATTATATTAATAAAGAGATTTCAGGACCAGTATTTGTGTCCTACCATACGTTAGAACTTAATCCAGTGTGATGCGAGAAAGAAATCATGCTCTTGCAGAGCAGTAAAGCCTTATTACACTTAGAAAAAGTTGCATGACCATTGAATATGTCTTCGCTTCCACAGACTTTGAAACAGACCTTGGAGTACCTGCCTAAGGAAGGGATTTTAAGACCTTCATGGTTCAGAGTAAGTTTACTTGTTACCTGGGATTGATGCCTTTTATACTACAGCATAGTGCTAGTATCCTCAGCCCTATAACTGAGCTGGTAAAAAATGGGTGGAAATGATGCTTTCTCTCATAAAACACTTACCTTTTTTTTCTGTAATCAGTACACTAGTATAAGCTGTTCAGTGTGGGGTGCTTTCTCTTCTTTTTTTCAATACCAGAAGGTATGCTTGCTGAGTGAAATAATGGAAAACTGCCAGATGGCACTATTAAAATGAAAACCCTCACAAGCTGTGATATTTACGGAGACAAGAACTCTGCCCAGTATGTGGCCAAGGGGGATGCAGGCAGGCATTCCCCTGCTGGCAGAACGTTGTTTTGTTTTGGAAGTCCTAAGGCCCCTTTCACCTAGATACCTCCTGTTAAGGTGTCGTGTTGGTGATCTCCTTCACAAAGTAACTATTTTGCCTAATACTTGGGTTGTTCAATCCCCTCCTTCAGAACCTTGACTTGTAACACTGAAGGCAATGTCTCTACTGTCCAGCGCTGTCAGGTGAGGATGGACCTGAGCATATGATGTGAGTGGCAGTGATTTACATGAAAGCCTGGCATACGGACGCCAGGCATATAGATGGGGTAAGAAAAACAGTGCTTCCGAAGAGAAAAGAGAAAGCTCTGGCCTTGCATCTTAGCATGGACCTATGCTCTCTTTACCCTTGGGCAGAGAGAGGTGGGGCTGAGGTCTGTGTTCATAGGAGGACATTCAGTGATGAATTTACCCTTGTCTTGGAGGTTATGTGATTGTTGAGGTTCTCCATGCCCACAGTATAGCAAACGGGCACTCAGATTATGTCTGTGTAGTGCCAGTTAGTGCTTGGACACACTTAGGTTAGCCAAAACATCAAGTCCCCTGGAAGGATGAAAGATCACAGAAAACTCACTGCATAGGCAAACATGCATTTCAGCACCTCCCATTTGCCACGCTTTTCTTTTTCTCCCCATAGCCTTTGACATGCAAAAGTGTGTTCTCAAGTAACCTAAAAACAGCAATCCTGAACCTTGAAAGTGCTGAGCAGTCAGGATATTACTAGGCTGTTCTGACTGCTTTCAAAAAGAAGACCATCTCTCCAGGAGCGTTGCTAAAGTTATCCATTCTTAGAAATATTGGTTTTGCAATAAGGAATTGGATAAGGGAGTGAAGAGCAATGTCACATGAAACGGTGAGTCTCCTCTGTGCTGTGGGACTGCTGATTTCCTTACAGGCAACACGGCACAAATGGAAAGGCCCTAGTGAGTAGCTGACTGCATGCCAATCCTGGATTTAACCCTCAGCGTCTTTTATCAGCTCCACTTCTGCTTCAATTCTGAAAACTATTTCCCTCTCTCCTCCTCTACTGGTTCATTCCATGCTTTGCATAAACTCCAAAATATGCATTTTCTTATTCTATGCACTAATGTATCTAGTCCACTACTTTTTTCTCCCTAGTGCTTTAACTGATATATATTAATACTGGGAGCTTCAGGACAGGGTCTCAGTTTAGTTAACAGGACAAGTCAACCATCTAATTTGGAGGATAACCTCCCACATGAAAAGGTAGACATGCTTTAGTGTACGGAACCAACTGGCAATTCAGGTAAGTTACATATAATGCCTGATCCTCTGACATTCCCGTGGTGTTCTTGACAAATGCAGCAGCTCCATAGCTTCAAAAGGGCAATGTTATTTATCTGCATCAGAGGTGGGAGAGTAGGGAAGAGGGAGCAGGGAAGGAAGCAGGGAGGCGAAATAACTTCCCTAGCATCTGAGCAACACTTAGCTGAAGCTGTGAAATAGCCAGATTCCTATCAAAAAGAAAAATGGCCTAGGCCTGAAATCCTTAACAGAGATAGATAGATGTAGTCCAGACCTGTATAGTCTGTTTGGTAGGATATATGAGGAGCTGTGTAATTTAACTCCTTTCTCTAAAATAGGATTTAGGAAAGTTTACGGAGACAAAAGGAATTACTTTGGTAACAATGATTTTCCAATAGTGTAGGATATGCCTGACCTCTACTAATTTTATGGCAACTGACATGGGGACTCTGAATGATTGCTTTGTCCCATACAGGAATAACATAATTTACTCTGTCAGAAGTCAGTGATCTGAGGACACAGTGTATAGAGTAAAAAAAAATATTTATCTGAGAATGTCTTCTAGATGTTGCTGTGCGTGGGAAACTGTATTAAAGCATTCCTCCAATAGGTATTAAAGATCAGTTAAAGCCAGTATGACATACTAGGCAGAGGGAGAGATAAATGTCACTTTCTGATAAAAACAGAAACATCTATCAAATATGATCTCTTTAAACACTATGGAAAAATCAAAGTACTAGCTATGAAAAAAGTCCTTTTCTTTTATAGCATGGCATAGTTTTTCTGGGATTATTGTAACAGTGTGTAGATATTAGACACTAATAATAACAACAGGCAATGCCCACAGATGGCTCTTACTTCCCTCTAAACTCACTCAAAGGGATCACCTAGAATACAGATATCAATACATATTCCATCACCAAACAGTGATTTCATTTATAATCAGTGGTAGGAATTATTTCTAACCTCTCTGAAAAAATTTAGCAACAGCAAATTATGTGAGGTGTTTGTTTTCAGGTTCCCCTGCTTCCCAGTTTATTCTGAACTATATGGAAGGTGCAATAGATGTAAAAGATAAGTTGTCTCTGATTTCTGTCATTCAAACTGGCTGCAAACAAACTGAACAGCAGTGTTGTTTTAGCCCTTTTTGTCTAAGTATGTAAACAAGGCAAAGATGGCATAACTACAAATGGTAAAAAATATTAGTTAGAAATATAGATCCCTCCCATTATAGAAATAAGAAAAAAAAATCAAAAAGAGAAAATAGCTGAAAACGACTATATACATACAAGTAGCTACTAGCTCTTCCCTAAATGTATCCCTACACATACTAGTACTGTCACAACACACTTCCATTCTATCAGATCTCCTTGCAGATAAAGAGTCTGCTGGCTTTGGGGAGAAAATCCCTGGAGTTGCCCTATATTTTCAGAGGCAGATCCTAGTCCCTTCTTCTCAGCATTAAGGAATGTAACTTCTGTCATCATGCTATATGTTTTGAAGAGAGTAGATGCACATTCTTCTCCTGCTGGGTCCTGCTTTTTGTTTTTAACATGCCGCTTCTTTAATCACTCATCAGAGCCTGTGGCCTGAGTTTTTCATATGTATGCACCAGACAACAAAAGAGAGATGTGTTCCTGACTCTGCCAAAGACCTGCTGAATCCTTTGGAGCTAGCCCTTCCATACTTCTGCCCAAACTGTGTATCTGTCAAATGGAGTTTATCAGACTGAATTACCTCCACAGCTTCCCATGAGAATTAGCATTTATAAAATGTTGACTTGGAAATGAACCTGAGCCAAAAACACTTAACCTCCGCTTTCACAAACATTAATGTATACTATAATATAATGTCTGTGCCCATAGGTACCTTTCCTCACTTGTAGAGAAAGCAGAACTTACTTCCAATATCTGGCCGCAGCTTTTTGTCATACTCTCTCAGCAGCTTGTTTAGTATGAGAGTCACATCTGTGTCCTGTGTTTTTGGAGCTAATACCCATTTTTGGTTAGTTGTTCCGTCTTCATATTCATCCTCTTCAACCTTTCTAGAACTGCAGTAACAAATCAAACAAATAGATGTTATTTTACATAAATAAAATCTGAATTTACATTCTGAGTAAATCTCCACACTCATTTTAAGAACTTTTAGATTTCTCCCATCAGTTTGTCTATCTACCCAGCCTTAGGATGTTTTTGCAACCAGATGTTCTCATTCACAATCGTTGAATGTTTGTGGATGGAGCAATATCAAATACTGTTTTGAAGTTGTCTTCTGCCAGGCTCTGAGAGAAACTATAGTCTGTGAGTTAATACAACTATCAGGGTAGTAATTTCTATGTTATATTTTAACCAACCTACCCATACTAGTTAATTTACAATATACTTTTTTGAAGAGCTAACATCTGCAGTTTTATTTTATGAATCCTTCAAGACAACTGATTCATCTCTTGCAAAGAGGCTAATAAGAGTATTAAAAATTCAGAACTTTTAATACTTCCTGATCATTTTATCCTATTAATAAATTATTATATTCTCAGTGTCTGAATTTCAGAATTTAATGTATTACAAGGCTTGAATTAAGAATTTGTTCTTGGAGTGTAAGATAGATTATCACAACCACACAAATATGTTGCATAAATTAATCTGAATTTCAGAGTCTCCCTATAGTTTCAATGACATTAAAAAAATTGTACTACACAAAGAGTTACAACTCTTCATCTTTCACAGGAGGATTATTTTTATTTTAAGAGTATGGTGATACAAATGTAGTAGAAGTACAGTTTGCTCAGAAACTACAGCTAGAGCTATTTCCACATATGGGACCAATTTCATTTGTGCAGCTTTTTGTGCATGAACAGTAAAATGCTGATTTGAAGATGTATATTTTGGTATCTTAGAAACCAAACCCATTTCATCTCTCTCACTTGAGAAAATCTGTGACAGTTAAGCTGAGATGAAGTTATCAGGAGAAAAGATAACCTCGGTGATAGAACCTAGAACAGTAATCTTCTAGTGCTTGGACTCGCAATTGCCCTAGCGATTTGATATCATTTCATGGCTTTTTTACACAGATCTCAATAATTATGCTAGGTACAAAGCAATGGAGAATCAGAGACATGAGCCTTGCCTATTCTTGGGATGTGCCAGAGCTACCTCCACCAAAGCAATCTCCTCCCTCTCTCTTTCTCTCCCTCCCCTTCTCTCTGTAATGACACTAGTGTCTTTCAAAATACCGTAAATTTCCAGAAAATCTGCTAGACACTCTATAGGAACATAAAAAAATTAATATAAAAGTTTAATCACAGAGCATCATCAACCTTCACCATTGCTTGCAGACCACTATTCAAGCATATTATCAAACTTTCAATTGAAATTACTCTACAGCCTGTATGTAATTAAGGATTAGCCATGAATCACTTAACATGACCCCAAAAATCACCAGTGGTTTGGGTACCCTTTCTATATAAAAATAATTTGAAATCTAGCCCCTGAGGATTTTCTATGGAGAAAGCTCATACAGTCAAGTTCCAACAGTACAGAAAACGTATGGAAAATTTTGAAGAGATAAGCACGCATTTTCCATTAGTAAACTGCATTTTTAGAGCTTGATCTTTTCTGTGTAATTCAACCACGAGTGTTAAAAAAAAACCCTAAGAGGGATTTTGGGTTTTTTCCCATAAGATTCATTAAAAGCCAAATGTTTGAATGCTGCAGTTACAGAACTATTCTCAAAGGAGGCACCCTCTCCAAACATACATGGCTTATATCTCACAGCTGAAAAGCTGCAGTGGTGCTGAATTAGATAGGAAAGGAGCACCAGATCTTACGTCTTTCTCTCTTACACCCACTATACCTTTACTGGAGCCATTTAGACTGCATGTGGAAGTGAGAACTGAGTTCATGCAGGACCGTGATTCCCATTTCAGGGAGCAGCTTCTTTAAATCAGTTATTAGTAAGGTTCTAAGCACTGACAGACCTTTGAAATCCCTTCACTGTCGCAGCTTGTTTCCTAGAAAGTACCTCCAAAGGATGTAAGCTCCTGCCTACCTTCTAGATTAAGCCTGCTGGTGGGAGAGATTTCACAGTGAGTTAGACTAACAACAGTGATGCACATTAAATACATATTTTTCAAAGTGTTTTGCTTCCTCCTTGAGAGTTTGTTTTTCACTTCTCTTGCTTGCCTCTATACAGTTAGGCTCTCCGTTAGGCTCTCTGAAGGCACTCGAGGTTGCATTTTCACCTGTAGCCTTACTGGTGACTGCCAAACTCCTAGCATATCCTCCCTGCTATCCACAGAAATAAATGTGGGATGATGGCAGGTGATTTTCAAAAAGGAGAAGAAGGGCTACCCTCCTTCCCCAGATTCCTAAGCAGCCACTAGCTCTAGCTGTGAGAGGAAACGCACAACCCGCGAAGGAGGAAGGCTGAAGAACCCCCGAGAGGCTGTGAGGGTTCCAGGTTTATTTCCTGGAACAAGCGTGTCTAGGACATGCTCTCCCGGCCTCAGGGGCTGACATGAAGCAGCCACTGTTTCCTGTGAGGATTTGGAGGGAAAAGCGAGATGCCGCTACTGGGCACCTGCCCCACGGGACAATACTGTCCATAAATCTGTGTTTTAAATGCCTGTGGGGAAAGAAGGGGAAGGGAAGGGAAGAAGAAGGGGAGTCTCTGAGCACATCTGAACTGCTGCAGCCCGGCCCGGTTAGTGGCAGCTCCTGCCGGGGGATGCTGAGGTGACCCCTCTGCCCGGGGCTATGCGTAGGGGCCCTGCCTGGTATGCCAGACAACTACCGGCGCGGAGGCGAGCCCGGTGCGGGCGGTCACG